TGCAGCCTCCAGGTCAATCCTGGAGGTAGAGATGATGAGATGTGGAAGTAAACAAGAGTAGTGTAGATAGGGAGTGAGCGCGAGCCAAGACGTTTCGGTCCATTAAGTCATATACGTCTTAACCCCCCACTGCTTGGAGAGAACCAGGTGTGCACCCCAGTTGGTGCGGCTATGACTTTAGATTTAGTTGGCAACCTTTCCGGGTCGACGATGCAGTTTCTTGTGCAAGAACGATAATCAAACGCATGCATCACACTTACTTTATCGAGAGTTTCTTGCTGGGGATAAGCTTTGTTCCGTTGTTAGTTAAAAGCAGTTGTTGGATAGAGATAAACGTGAACCATTTACTACTGCTATAGTGCATGTAGTAGTAACCGGAGTAGGGTGCCGACCAGTACCAGTGATCCGTGCTCGGCAGCTTTGGTCTTTCTGCGCTTTCATATACTTCTTCAAGTGCTTCTTCATTGTAACTCTGTAATGAAGTTTTGATATTAAAGCATTTTTGTCATTCTCTCTAACTACATATGCTCGAAGCACAGCATGCAGCTCTACGCTATTGAATGCTTTTTCGTAATCGACGAATATTAGACAAGGGGGACTTGCTGCTCCTTCATTGTCCTGTAAACTACTCTTTACAATGCTTCATTAAAGACAATATGAATATTATTCCGGGAAAGTGAATATTAATTTGGAAGACTGTATCAGATGTCTACGTTTCGGACTGAGCTGTGTTTAGTTTTTTAAAATTTTCTACTGAATTATTCAAAAGATATAATTACGTGAATAATCTTATTCTTTTGAATCTTCTTCCTAATAGCGTTGTCACTTCGGTTTGTCAAATCTCTTAGAAGAGCGGCAATAGAGGGCATGCGAATTGCATCTTTTTTACTTGGACCGGCCTATTCACATTGAAATAGAAATTAGTTGTTAAAAATATATGATCACACCTCTGTATGCATAAACGCCTAATAGCAGTATCCCAGCACGTTATGAGTTAGCAAAACGAGTTATTTCATATATAACCTGATCCAAACTTTATAACTCTCAGAACTGTTGTATTTTTTCTTTTGGAGCGTTCAGCTTGATATTCATTCACCTCAGTTTACCTCCCTCAGATGCATTCCAGTTTTAATTTTTATTAAGTAAAGTTCTCACTGTATGCCCTCCTTCCTTGCATTTGCATTTTTTTTAAAGCTTCGGTCAGAGCTTTTTGGGTTTTTCGAAAGTCAGAACTGTGCTGCGAAGCTTATTGCGGAAAGGGAAGAGGAACTCTACGTGCGTCAGAATTTCTCTTAGAAGATACGACAATGAGTTATATGTTCAGACTTTAGTTAGTGCATTTGTTATTGTTTCTGAATGACTTACATCACTCTCTGCACTGTTTACTGAGTAAAATATGCCGAATAACATAACATCGTCATGTTTTATGAAAAACTCAATAATAGTATTTGCTGATAGCCTGTACACATATACGCATTCCTCACCTGAAAATTGGCTTTTCTCTTTCATCACCTCCCTCGACAGGGGAACGCATTTGGAAGTAGTTCCGGTATTAATAATTGACAACATTAATCGCTTACTGGCAAATCTCACAGTAGCTTTTCTTGTCCGTAATCTTAGTGTACTGGCAAATAAGTTTGCTTTCACGCTGGCATGGATATTCGGCCTCTACTCCTCCCATCTTGCCTACGCGGTGTAAAAATTCACCCGCAATTCGTTTTGAAGGTAAATTGGTATGTTAAAAGGATGTCAGGATCATCACAAAATTATTGTTGAGCTGACCAAGAAATTAAAACATGAAGTTGTAGCTGGCTCCAAATTCTTGGCTAGATTTTTAGATTTTCAAATATTTGGAAAAAACGAGCAGATTTTTACGCAAAATGGGGTACTATCTAGGGTAGCTATCAGTTCACAGTGGTTTTCTCTTAACTGTACAGGTGGAGATTTTTCAGTTGCTTTGGCTAATGCTGCATTGCCTGATGGTTATTTTGCTAGTGGTTCTGACCTTTGGGGATTATTAGCTCAACGAATTTCCTGGTAAAAGCAATTAGTGAGTTCTTAGCCGTTTCGAGATGCCTTTGTGTGATGTGCTTCACCATCTCGTCCTGTACACTGCAATCCTCTGCCCACGATGGGTACAACCACTTGGAGTCAGGATATACTAAGAATGGTAGAACAGCCCGGACAATTAGCATGACTGTCCCATGTTACTGATATTACTGGAATTCTTCCAAATGCCGGACTCTTCGCTTGTTTGATATGCACTCGCTAATGCGTAATGTCCACCAGCTGCCGGCAACGTGAGAAACATCCTCTGCCCATTGGATTTTACTTCGTCTCGAGATCACAATGATATCCGGCACATCGCTCATCTGACGGAGAGTCTGATTTTTACATGGTCGCGGAGAGACACTTCAAGTAACACCACTGCTTGTGCAGTGCAAGATTGGGTATGGACTAGGGAAATTATTGTTTTATAGCTGCACTGCAGCAATCAGTATGAGCTGCAGATTGATCGAAGGAAGCATTTTTCATTACCTGGTGCTAATCGGAAACTGTCAGGCAGGAAAGGCAGTACAGGTTCTGTGAGTGGAGTACTTTTTTCCGGAAAAGGGATTAATAGGCGACATCGCTCATCGTTCATTTCATCGAGCATCGTGCCTCCATAATGTACAGGCAAGCGCTGTGCATCAATGTACTGCAGCAGCTCATTGCGCCAGTTCGCCGACTTCGTTATCGAAATTTTCTCCTGGAATAGAGGGGTTGTACTGGTGACTGAAAGCGATGAATTTTATTGTAAAAATAGTTTGTTACCCTATAACTGCTCGTGATGAAAGGCATACAGGCAGTCCACAAAACATTTATGTAATTTGGCGTTTTGACCACTATGATTCGTGTGAATATGGACGGATACTGCTCCAGTAACGTTCCCCAGATTATGCGAAAAGGACCTGCAAAGATAACACATTTGTGCAGAATTTGGTTCAAACTATATTTTTGTCAGGAATGCATTTGAAACTTCAGTTGTTTTGAATGTTCTGCAGATGGGTCACATAATTATGACCTGTTGATAATATCACAATTTTGCAAAATTACGTCGTCTGCACTGAAAATTAGCTTAGATAGTTCGTCAACTTTTTAACTACATTTTATATCTATCTGCAATTGGCGGCGCTTCAAATTCTATAGCACAAGTTTCAGATTTGGCGGCGCTTTATCGTGCTCGCAAGCACATATGTCTTAACAAATATTTGCCAGCAAAAATGATCTAGTTTGTGCAAAGCTCATCATTATTCTATAACACAAGCTCCAGTTGAAAATTTCATTCCTGTTAATGTAAGTTTAATTCACCATGCTTCAAAGAAACATGATTTTCTACTATGGAAGTGGGGAAGAATGTTGGCTAGGCTTTTTTAAACATGGAATTGTTATATGAGTGATGAACGATTGTGGTCCACTTTTTCACTGTAATTATAGCTAAGCTGCGGTGGATGAAAGAAAAGTACAACTCAAATTCGCAGAACTGACCAGTTAAAAAGCTGATCAAACTGCTGGACATTTCAAGACCCTCTAAATCAACAACGTATATGACGCCAGATTGCCGCTTTGAAATTTTCTCCTGCTCGTTTATTAAACGCAGAAGTCGTTCCATCAGGCCAAAACGAGCGTTGAGAAACGGCGTAAGCTGGATCGATTCCATAAAATTCTCCAAATCCACTCGACCTGCCAATTCAAATATCACGATTTTATTATCGTTATCGCGATTCTTCCCCAAAATTGCAATTGGTGCTTGCATAAAAACCGGTAGTAGTCCATTGTTTTCTGCAATTTGAATGTTTTAGCTGAAATTTGATTTACCAATCTCTCGATTTTGACCTAAAAATTATGATAAAATTGGAGGAGTGCTACTGCATCACAAACAAATCGTGCAATAAGCATATCAGGATGAGAGCGAAACAGTGAGGATTTTCAAGTAATAAAACGATCAAATCATAAGATACCGTTTGTAATTTCGACGTAACAAACTTATCTTGCTATTAATCAATTTTGGCGTGTGTGCGCTATAAGAGCGGTAGTTATTTTAAGAAGACTACGATATGAGTAAATTCTAACTGTATTTTAAGTCTGGCAGATTCATTGTGTGTGCTGTACAAAAATCACATTATCTTTGCGAAAATTCAAGGCACATTGAGTGTGTTTTCTGTCAAGCCGTCGAAAGCAAGTGCTTGGCGAAAGAATACATCTGAATCGACTAATTTTGTACGACAACCGGTGGAGAGAGGCGCTTTCAACTTACTTTTTACCCGACATGAAGAGTAATATCTTAACTTGTTTTTCATCTTTTTGGTCATTTACCACTGGAGAGACATGGCCACTAAAATCAAAGTGTCTACAAGGGGATCCTCGACTGGGAAACGGTTACAAGCTAAAAATAATTTTTTTTTAAGTCCTCTGTCTCAAGAAGTTCATTGTGTTGGAATTTGTATGTATCGAAAAAAAAATAATTGGCCAACGCATGGGCTGTCCGTGCGAAGATGCGTTTTTTGCAGAGTTCCCCGCACTTTTTGTAGCTACCGGCATCGGTTTTTTCGGCAGATGCTTCTAGCTGAAAGATTTTCAGACTGGCCGCCAGAAC